GGACGGGACTGGGACTGGGACGGGACTGGGACGGGACTGGACTGGACTAGACTGGACTGGGACTGGGTCTGGACTGGGACTGGGAATGGATTGGCACTTGGACTGGGACCATCACTGGGGCCAGCATCATGATAGGGATTGGACTGGGACTGGTAACAGGACTGGGACTGGGACTGGCCTGGGACTGGCCTGGGACTGGGACTGGGATGGGACTGGCACCGGCACCAGCATCATGATTGGGAGTGGGATTGGACTGAGACTGGCACTGGGCCTGGACTGGGAATGGATTGGCACTTGGACTGGGACCAGCACTGGGGCCAGCGTCATGATAGGGATTGGACTGGGACTGGTAACAGGACTGGGACTGGGACTGGGCCTGGGACTGGGATAGGGACTGAGATTGGGGTGGCGACTGGGCTGGATCTGGGACTGGGACCAACACGGTGGCCAGCATCATGACTGGGACCTCGATTAGACTGGGACTTGACTGGGGCTGGGAATGGGAGTGGGACTTGGACTGGACTGGGACTAGGACAGGGACTGGAGCTGATACTGGGCTGGGACTGGGACTGGGACTGGGACCAGCATGATGATTGGGATCAGGACTAGACTGAGACAGGGACTGGGACCAGCACCGGGACCAGCATCATGATTGGGACAGGGATTGGACTGAGACTGGGAATGGGACTGAATGCGATTGGGACTGGAACTGGGGCTTGACTGGATAGGGACTACACTGGGACTGGACTAGGACTGGGAATGGGAGTGTGACTTGTACTGGACTGGGATTAGGATGGGGACTGGGACTGGGACTAGGACAGGGACTGAACTGGAACTGGGTCTGGGACCAGTACCAGGACGAGCATCGTGATTTGGCCGGGAATTGGACTGGACTGGGACTAGGACTGGGCTGCAATTGGGACTGTGACCAGGACTTGACTGGATAGGGGCTGGGACTGGGACCAGAACTGTGACCAGCACCGGAACCAGCATCATGATTGGGACTGGGACTGGACTGGGACCGGCACTGGGACTGGACTGGGGCTGATACTGGGCTGGGACTGGCACCTGGCCTGGACTGAGACTGGGACCACGATGAGGGCTGGGACCGGGATTGGTTCTGGGACTGGGACTGGAACTGAACTTGGGCTGGGACTGGGACCAGCATCGCGACTGGGACTGGGATGGGACTGAGACTGGAACTGGTACCAGGACTGGACTGGGACTAGGACAGGGACTGGGATGGGGACTGGACTGGAACTGGACTGGGACCAGGACTGGGACGAGCATCATGATGGAGCCAGGGATTGGACTGGGACTGGAACCGGGACTGGGACTGGGACGGGTACAGGGACCTGGACTTGGACTGGGACCAGCAGCAGGACCAGCAGCATGATTGGGATAGGAATTGGACAGAGACTGGGACTGGGGCCAGGACTTGGAGTCGACTGGAGTAAGAGTGGGACTAGACTTGGACTGGGACCAGCACAGGGACCACCATGATGATTGGGACTGGGACTGGACTTGGACTGGGACTGGGACGAGCATCATGATGGAGCCAGGGATTGGACTGGGACTGGGACGGGTACAGGGACCTGGACTTGGACTGGGACCAGCAGCAGGACCAGCAGCATGATTGGGATAGGAATTGGACAGAGACTGGGACTGGGGCCAGGACTTGGAGTCGACTGGAGTAAGAGTGGGACTAGACTTGGACTGGGACCAGCACAGGGACCACCATGATGATTGGGACTGGGACTGGACTTGGACTGGGACTGGACAGGACTGTGACTGGTACTGGACTGGTACTGAACCAGGACTGGGACTGGACTGGGGCTGGGACTGGGATTAGGACTGGACTAGGATTGGACTGGGACTGGGAATGAGAGTGGAACTAGACTGGAACTGGGACTGCGATTGGGACCGGGTCTGGGACTGCAACTATTACAGGGACTGGGACTAGTATAGGGACTGGGACTGGACTGGGACTGGACTGGATCTGGGACCTGGGCTGGAGTGAGAGTGGGACTGGGACTGGGATTTGAACCGGGATTTGGACTGGGACTGGGACATTGACTGGGACTGAACTGGCCCTGCAACTGGAACTGGAACTGGGACTGGGATTGGGACTGGACTGGATCTGAGACTGGGACCAGCATGGGGCCCAGCATCATAATTGGGACCTTGATTAGACTGATACTGAAAATGGAACTGGAACTGTACTGGCACTGGGACTGGGACCAGAACTGGAACTGGGACCCAGCACCAGGACTGGGACCAGGACTAGGACCAGCACTGAGACCAGCACTGGGACTGGGACTGGGACTGGACTGGGACCAGCACTGGAACTGAGACACAGCACCAGGACCAGCACTGGGACCAGGACTGGGACTAGACTGGGACTGGGACCCAGCACTGGGATTGGGATCAGCACTGGGACCAGCACTCGAACCCAGCACCGGGATCAGGACTGGGACCAGCACCAGCACTGGGGACCAGCACTGGGCCATACTGGGACCGGGTGGGCCTGGGGTGGGGGCGGGAGGGTCCCCAGCAGGGAGCACCCACACGGGGTGAGCACGGACCCCCGGGGTGACCCTGACCCCACGTGACCCCGCTGAGGAGCAGGGGAGGGGCGCGCCGAGGCC